AGCAGGGCCCGGGCCGCGGGGAGGGCCGCGGGGAGGGTGCGAGGGTGAGCAGGGCCCGGGCCGCGGGGAGGGTGCGAGGGTGAGCAGGGCCCGGGCCGCGGGGAGGGTGCGGCCGAGGCGCTGGGTGGGGTGAGCACCCGCACGAGCCCGTGGACGCGCAGGGACCCGCTGGGAGGCCGCACTTGCGGGCGGCTGGGCTGCGGGACCCCGCGGGCGCGCACGCTCCCGGGTCCCGCGCACGCTCCCGGGCCCCGCGCACACTCCCGCACACTCCCAGGGCCGCGCACGCTCCCGGGGCCGCGCACGCTCCCGGGGCCCCGCGCACGCTCCCGGGGCCGCGCACGCTCCCGGGGCCGCGCACGCTCCCGGGGCCGCGCACGCTCCCGGGGCCCCGCACGCTCCCGGGGCCCTGTGCACACTCCCGCACACTCCCAGGGCTGCGCACGCTCCCGGGGCCGCGCACGCTCCCGGGGCCCCGCGCACGCTCCCGGGGCCGCGCACGCTCCCGGGGCCGCGCACGCTCCCGGGGCCCCGCGCACGCTCCCGGGGCCCCGCGCACGCTCCCGGGGCCGCGCACGCTCCCGGGGCCGCGCACGCTCCCGGGGCCGCGCACACTCCCGGGGCCCCGCGCACGCTCCCGGGGCCGCGCACGCTCCCGGGGCCGCGCACGCTCCCGGGGCCGCGCACGCTCCCGGGGCCCCGCGCACGCTCCCGGGGCCGCGCACACTCCCGGGGCCCCGCGCACGCTCCCGGGGCCGCGCACGCTCCCGGGGCCGCGCACGCTCCCGGGGTCCCGCGCACGCTCCCGGGGCCGCGCACACTCCCGGGGCCCGCGCACACTTGGCAGCTTGGCGTGCGCTCGTGTGGACACCGGTCCCGCCGTCCCCCAAACAGTACCGGCCCGGCCTGTGGCGCAGTTCTGCCGTCTCTACCAGAGCTGGAACTCAGTCTTGGAGACGGCGACCCACAAGGGCGAAGCTGGGCTGGGCCCGGGGCCCGGGGACCCTCCCCGCCCTGGCTGGGCCCGGGGCCCGGGGGCCCTCCCCGCCCTGGCTGGGGCTGGAGCCCGGGGACCCTCCCCGCCCTGGCTGGAGCTGGGGCCCGGGGGCCCTCCCCGCCCTGGCTGGAGCTGGGGCTGGGGGCCCAGGGGCCCTCCCCGCCCTGGCTGGAGCTGGGGCTGGGGGCCCGGGGACCCTCCCCGCCCTGGCTGGAGCTGGGGCCCGGGGACCCTCCCCGCCCTGGCTGGAGCTGGGGCCCGGGGGCCCTCCCCGCCCTGGCTGGAGCTGGGGCTGGGCCCGGGGACCCTCCCCGCCCTGGCTGGGGCTGGGCCCGCTCTGCTCGGAGCGGGGCGGCAGCCTGGCCCGCACTGGGCGCACCCCCGACGTCACCCCTCATGTCACTCCCCCCGACGTCACCCACCTCCCGACGTTACCCACCCCGACGTCACAGCCCGACGTCACCCACTCCCTCGACGTCACCCCACCAGCACCCACATCGCCCCCCATCACCGACGTCCCGCACCCACATCGCCCCCCATCACCGACGTCCCGCACCCACATCGCCCCCCATCACCGACGTCCCGCACCGGTACGGGTCCACACGCCCCCCCACCGCTCTTTCTCCTCCCAGTATCAACCCTGGCCCCAGGAGAGCCCAGCCCCTTCTGCCTCTCGCTGTCCTCACATCGCTCTAGGAGGACATCACGGCCCCGCCAACAGACAGCTGGAGAAAATGAGATACAGAAAGGCGAATGGCCTCCCAAGTGCGGGGTCCACACTCAGGTTGTTTGGCTTAGCAGGCTGAATCCTTCACCACCAGACTCTTGTCCCTCAGTCTTATCTGCCTACCTATCCACCCATCCATCTAGCCATCCATCCATCCTTCCATCCATCCATCCTTCCTTCCTTCCATCCACCTATCCACCCATCCACCTATCCACCCATCCATCCACTATCCATCCATTCACCATCCATCCATCCACCATCCATCTACCCATCCACTATCCATCCATCATCCATCCATCCAGTCAGCCATTATCCATCAATCCATCCATTCACCATCCATCCATCCACCCATCCACCTATCCACCCATCCATCCATTATCCATCCATTCACCATCCACCCATCCACCATTCATCCACCCATCCATTCACCATCCAACCATCCATTCACCATCTAGCCATCATCCACCCATCTATCTACCATTCTGCCATCTATCATCCATCTACCACCCTTCCACTACCCATCCATCCATCCATCCACCATGCATCTACCCATCCACCATCCATCCACCTATCCATCCACTCATCTATGCACCATCTATCCACCCATCCACCATTTATCCATCCATCCACTATCCATCCATTCATCCACCATCCATCCATCCATCTATGCACCAGTGCATGCATGCATGCATGCCTCCATCCATTCATCCACGCATCTATCCATCAATGGTACACCCATCCCTCTACCCATCCATCCATCAATGCATGCATGCATGCATCCATCTATCCATCCATTCATCCATGCATCTATCCATCAATGATACACCCATCCATCCACCCATCTATCGATCAATGCATCCACTCATCCATCCATGCATATACCTATCCATTCATCCATAAGTGCATCCATCCGTTCATCCACCCATCTATGCATCAATGAATGCATGCACATCCATCCACCCATCTACCATTTATCCATCAACCATTTATTCATCCATCCACTATCCATCCACCCATCCATCCATCAATGCATGCATGCATGCATGCATCTATCCATCAATGACACACCCATCCATCCACCCATCCACCCATCTATCAATCAATGCATCCACCCATCCATCCATGTATACACCTATCTATTCATCCATCAATGCATCCACCCATCTATGCATCAATGAATGCATGCACCCATCCATCTATCCACTCATCAATGCATCAATCCATCCATGCATCCATCCTTCCTTCCATCCATCCACCCATCCATGCATCCATCCTTCCATCTGCCCATCCATCCACCCATCTATCCATCCACCCATCCATGCATCCATCTTTCCATCTATCCCTCCATCCACCCATCTATCCATCCATGCATCCATCCTCCCATTCACTTACCCACCCACCCACCCATGCACCCATCCATCCATGCATCCATCCTCATAGCTGTCTACCACTCTGCCCTGTCACTCACTGTCACTTTGTCCATCTAGTGGCACATCCATCCATCCCTGTCACCCATCCATCCTGGGAGTAATATGGTTAGAGAACCCCAGGCCCTGGGGGGTGGGGAGAAGGCCAAGAACTGCCCATCTGGCCAGGCAGGGTGGACTGGGGTGGGCTGCCCGCTGCGGGTGGGGTTGTGTGGGACTGGAGAGAACTAGCAGAGTGCTTGCCAGGATCATCTAATTAGGAACACTGGTGATAAGCAGATAGGATCGGGAATGATTAGAATCCTTTTAAAAAGCCACTCCATTCATTACAGAGACAGAGAGGGGCTCTGGCCACTCAGAATACAAATCGGCTCTCTCCTGGGCCTCCAGCAGCTTGCCCTGGGGGGAGAGCTTCATTGGCCTGCTGTGTGACCTTGGGGTGTGCTGTACCCTCTCTGGGCCTCCCAGCATATGAGGTCAGCCTCTGCCTGGAGATCAACTGGTCACCTGTGGCCTTCTCTCTTTCCAGATCACAGGAGGGGTTGGCTGGAGGGTGCAATATTGGAAGCCGGGCTCCCCAGAGAGGAAGTTGTTCTGCGGGGACAGGGCTTCACCTTCCACTGGGGACAGAGAGGCTCAGTGAGGCCAAGTGACCTGGTAGTTAAGCAGCGGCACTGGGACAGGGTGCTCGGACCTCCGCCTGTGTTCAGAACCTGTGGAGCCCACGGTCCTGCTGCCCCTGGGCCCTGAGAGGTTCCAGGCCTTGCGGGACACAGGGAGCCGGCTCTGCACGTTGGCCTCCAGTGCCGTCTGCGCCTTCCTTCGGGCGCCTTCCCCCACCTGGCCTCCTTCAAGGCCCCCGGTCTGCAGGGGTGGGGCAGGGCCTTGCCAAGTGGGGCGGGTTGCCTCCACCCCGGTCCGTGCTGAGCCGGTGGTGGTCTCAGTTCTGCCTCTAGGCCGTCTGGACCTGACGCGGCGGTGGCGTGGCGTGGCTGGGGTGGGAGCCTGGGCCGGCATGCGGGCTGAAGCCGCGGTGAGCCTGGAGCGCCAGGCAGAGGCGGTCAGAGGGGAGTCTGCGGTGCAGACGCCTGTCTCCTCCTCCAGCATGGACACGGGCGCTGCCCCACAGACGGGCTGGGCCCACGCAAGGCCTGGAGGGGCGGGGACCGCGTGGCGGCGGGTGCTGTAGGCTCCCCAGACCTTTCCAGAATCTGCTGCTGTCCCTGCTGGCGCTCGGGGCTGGCCAGAACCTGTGAGGTGCCCGAAACTGGGGACTGCAGGGAGCTGGTGGGGGGGGACACCAGGGGGTGGGGACAGAGGTAAGTGGGGGAGAGAGGGAGGAAGAGAGGCAGAGGAAGGAGGGCCACGTGGTGAGCACTGGGGCCCGAGCACCCAGCCAGCACCGTCTGCTGGCTTCCAAGTCACAGACGCCCACCGCCTGGAAGCGTCCATGCCTGCTCTGTTCCCCCCGCTTCGCTGCGGCTCTCCAGCTTCCTGAGCCCCCCACAGTCCCGGTGTGGCCATGCGTGACCCTCCAGCCCATCATGGCCACCCCCTCGGGGGCAGGCCCACGTCCAGCCCAGCAGGGTCCGGGAGCTGGGGGTGGGGACCGCCCCGCCCGGAGCTGATGTCACAAAGGCTCTGGGCCGCCCCCCAGGAGCTGGCCCCAGGCAGTGCCCCCACCCCCGCCCCGCTCCGGCAGAGGCCCCTCCTGACCCGGGCACCAGTGCTATGGCAAGCTGAACGCACCAGGCCTGTCCACCCCAAGCCAGCAGACGCCAGCGGCCAGCTCCGCCCCGCCACCGCCGGCTCGGCTCGAGCGCCAGCTCCACCGCACCCTCCGCTCAGCATGGCCAACTACTACGAGGTGCTGGGCGTGCAGGCCAACGCCTCTGCCGAGGACATCAAGAAGGCCTACCGCAAGCTGGCCCTGCGCTGGCACCCGGACAAGAACCCCAACAACAAGGAGGAGGCCGAGAAGAAGTTCAAGCAGGTGTCCGAGGCCTACGAGGTGCTGTCGGACTCGAAGAAGCGCCTGGTGTACGACCGGGCGGGCTGCGAGGCCTGGCGGGCGGGCGGGGCGCAGGCCGGCCCCTTCAGCAGCGGCTACACCTTCCGCAACCCCGAGGACATCTTCCGGGAGTTCTTCGGGGGCCTGGACCCCTTCTCCTTTGACTTCTGGGAGGGCCCCTTCGGCAGCGAGCGGGGCCGGAGCCACGGCCTGCGCGGGGCCTTCACGGCCGGCTTCGGCGAGTTCCCGGCCTTCGTGGAGGCCTTCTCGGCCTTCGACTCGCTGGGCCGCGCCGGCGGGGGCAGCCACACCACCTTCTCGTCCACCTCCTTCGGGGGCTCGGGGGCTGGCAGCTCCGGCTTCAAGTCTGTGATGTCCTCCACGGAGATGGTCAACGGACACAAGATCACCACCAAGCGCATCGTGGAGAACGGGCAGGAGCGTGTGGAGGTGGAGGAGGACGGGCAGCTCACGTCTGTGACCATCAACGGCAAGGAGCAGCTGAAGAGGGTGGACAGCAAGTGAGCCCGGACTCAGCTCCGCCGGTCTCCGCCAGGTGGGCTGACCGCTAATAAATATGCTGAGTGAGTTCAGGGGAGCTGCGTGCCTCAGGTGTGGGGCCTCTGTTCTGCCCGGCATCGGTCCCAGAGAAGGGTGTGGCCAGCACCCCACAGCCCGGGGCGGCCACCATCCCGGCGTGCCCTGGCCACGCCTCCCGTGCCTCTCACACCAACCTCAGGGCCCTTGGTGGCAGCCAGGCCAGGTGTGACCACCCATATAGAGACTGCTGGCCGTGAAGCCGGCCACACCCCCCTGCTCCCAGCACCGGGTCCCAGTGCTGAGCCTCTGCCACACTCGACCTCCCGGACCCCGTCCTGGCTCCCCCCAAACGCCTTGCCACTCGGGGCCCTGGCACACGCCACCTCCTCCAGTGAACATGAGCCTAGGGTTAGTCCTGAGACCCCGTGGGACGGGGGGCAGGCCCCACTGACTAGGACAAAGCGGGCCCTGGCACCTGGCAAGGGAGCTGGGCACAAAATGACACCAGGGGCCATGCGCAGACAGGTGGGCGGGCAGAGCAGTGGGCTGGGAATTATTATTATTTTGTGGGTCCTGGGGCCTGAACTCTGGGCCTGGGCGCTGTCCCTCAGCTCTTCAGCTCAAGGCTAGCGCTCTACCACTTGAGTAACAGCACCACTTCCAGTTTTCTGGTGGTTTATTAGAGTTTAGAGTCTCATGGATGTTCCTGCCCGGGCTGGCTTTGAACTGCCTTCCTCAGATCTCAGCCCTCTGAGTAGCTAGGATGACTGGCGTGAGCGCCAGCATTTATTATTATTATTAATGGTCATTATTGTTGTTGACAGCACTGGGCTTGTGCTCAGGGTCTCAAACCCGGGAGGCTGGCATTTTACCACCTGAAGCACTCTTCCAGTGAGCAGGGGTCTGGAGTTTTGAGTCTGGTGATGGGAACAGCAAGGCCTAGGCCGAGTCTCTGCGGTCTGAGGAGCTTCGGGGGCTCCATAATCCCAGGCTCCATGCCATAGAGGAGGAAACTGAGGCAAGGGCTGGGGGTCACATGCCTTGCCTGCAGCAGTGGTGGGTTCGAGGACTCGTGTAGTGCGCTTAGGCCTCGGGCGATGGGCAGGGCCTGGCCAGTGCCGCGTCTGAGCTGTAGGGGAGCCGGGAACGCGGTGAGTGCATGCATTGGGGTTCAATCTTAGCTCACAGGACGCGGCCAGACGTGGAGCTGTGGCCTCGGTGGACAAGGATCCAGCCGGGTGCCGTCCGCACCCCAGCTTTCTGCAGGCCTAGTGTCCAGCACGGGCAGCAGGCCGAGCTCACTGCTGAGCTCACATGCTGAGGACGGGCTGGTGCTCCGAGGGCAGGCCACCCAGGCCCATGGCTGCTGCTAACCAGCAGGAGCGCAGCGAGCTGGAGGAGGGCGCCGCAGAGCCTGCCAGCACCTGCCTCGGGGCCAGGAGCAGGGTAGGCCCTCTTCCAGGAAGCGCATGGGGGCCCCGGCCACGGTCCTCAGGTTTACAGTGTGCTAGGAGGACGTTGTCTGGAGGCCGCCCTGTGTCACTGGGCCAGGCTGGGCTTCCTGGCTGGAGCAGCTGGAGGCCCTGAGCGCCTACCCTGCACACGGGGCCCTGTCCTGCAGGTCTAACTTCATCAAGTCCGAGACAGCATTAACACCTGACCTCTGTCCTGCTGACCTGCTGATTTCCCCAAGGCCCGGAGTCAAGTGTGCTCGCTTAACCCAGACAGCTGCCAGGCAAATCCAATTACACCCCGGCAGGCGGGCGGTGCTGCGCAGCGCAGGGGCTGGCCTGGGACCCAGGGCCCCCAGCGCCACAGGGACCCCACGCCGGCGCTCCCTGGTGACGCAGGACCCAGACCCACTCGCTCCCCTCCCAGGGAGCCACAAAGTCCAGTCCTGGCCAGCCTGACAGCGCAGCAGATACAGGCCCCACCAGGTGAGCAGGGACAAAGTTGAGCTCCTAAGCCAGCACTGGCCCTGCCCAGGCCAGGCCTGCCCACTGCCCACTGCCCACACCCAGCCTTCCCTGGGCTGCCAGCCCAGGGTCCCAGCTGGGCCTTCCACGTGAGCACCGCCATTACACCTCCTGCCATCCACTTCCCCCTGGAGACCCTCCCTGGGTCCCTGCCACGGATCCCGGGTGCCCAGGATGGAAAGTGAGGGCCGCAGCTCCCCTGCTGTCCCGGCCTAGTCTGCGTGTCTGTCTGAGTGTCTGGGTGTCTGCCTGTGTGTACTCGTGTCTGTGTGTCTGCGTGTTTGTCTTCGTGTCTGCTTGTTTGCATGTCTATGTGTCTGTCTGTGTGTCTCCGTGTTTGTCTTCGTGTCTGTCTGCATGTCTGTCTGCGTGTTTGCATGTCTATGTGTCTGTCTGTCTGTCTCTGTGTTTGTCTTCGTGTCTGCGTGTCTTCGTGTCTGCATGCCTGTCTGCATGTCAGCATGTCTATGTATCTATATGTATGCCTGTGTGTCTGTCTATGCATGTCTGTGTGTCTGTCTGTGTGTCTGCGTATCTACATGTCTGTGTGTCTGCATGTCCATGTGTCTGCATGTCTGTGTGTCTATGTGTATGTCTGTGTATCTGTCTACGTGTCTGTGTGTCTGCATGTCTGTCTGTCTGAGTGTCTGTGTGCCTCCATGTTTGTCTTCTTGTCTCTGTGTCTGTGTGTCTACATGTCTGCGTGTCTGCATGTCTATGTGTCTCTGTGTTTGCGTGTCTGCATGTCAGCATGTCTGTGTGTCTATGTGTCTGCATGTCTGTCTGTCTGTGTGTCAGCATGTTTGTGTGTCTGTATGTCTGTCTGCGTGTCTGTGTGTCTGTTTGCATGTCTGTGTATCTGCATGTCTGTGTGTGTGTCTGCATGTCTATCTGCGTGTCTGCGTGTCTGTGTGTCTATCTGTGTGTCTGTGTCTGTCTGTGTGCCTGTGTGTCTGGTGTCTGTTTGCGTGTCTGCATGTCTGTATCTGTGTGTCTGCATGTCTGTCTGCCTGTCTGTCTGTCTGCCTGTTTGCGTGTCTGTATATCTGCATGTCTGTCTGTGTGTCTGCATGTCTGTGTCTGTGTCTGCATGTCTGCATGTCTTCGTGTCTGTCTACATCTCTGTGTGTCTGTGTCTGCGTGTCTGTCTGCATGTCTGTGTCTGTGTGTCTCTGTCTGTCTGCATGTCTGTCTGTCTGCGTGTCTGTTTGCATGTCTGTTTGTGTCTGTGTGTCTGCGTGTCTGTGTGTCTGCGTGTCTGTGTGTCTACGTGTCTGTGTGTCTACATGTCTGTGTCTGCGTGTCAGCGTGTCAGCGTGTCTGAGTGTCTACCTGTGAGGATGGTGGTGGTGAGGCCCCTCCTCTTCACCTACGTCCAGGACAGCCATGCTGGGGTGGCTGAGCCCGCAGCCCGCGGCCCGTGTGGATTCCACGGGGCTGGGGAGGGCACAGGACAGCCTGCAGCACGCAGCACCCACCCTGGCCCCCCCTTGCCCCTGCCCCACTGCCCGACCCCTCCCCCAGCTGGCCCCCCCTTGCCCCTGCCCCACTGCCCGACCCCTCCCCCACCCTGGCCCCCCCCTGCCCCTGCCCCACTGCCCGACCCCTCCCCCACCCTGGCCCCCCCTTGCCCCTGCCCCACTGCCCGACCCCTCCCCCAGCTGGCCCCCCCCTGCCCCTGCCCCACTGCCCGACCCCTCCCCCAGCTGGCCCCCCCCGCCCCTGCCCCACTGCCCGACCCCTCCCCCACCCTGGCCCCCCCTTGCCCCTGCCCCACTGCCCGACCCCTCCCCCACCCTGGCCCCCCCCTGCCCCTGCCCCACTGCCCGACCCCTCCCCCACCCTGGCCCCCCCTGGCCCCTGCCCCACTGCCCGACCCCTCCCCCATCCTGGCCCCCCCTTGCCCCTGCCCCACTGCCTGACCCCTCCCCCAGCTGGCCCCCCCCTGCCCCTGCCCCACTGCCCGACCCCTCCCCCACCCTGGCCCCCCCTTGCCCCTGCCCCACTGCCCGACCCCTCCCCCACCCTGGCCCCCCCCTGCCCCTGCCCCACTGCCCGACCCCTCCCCCACCCTGGCCCCCCCTTGCCCCTGCCCCACTGCCCGACCCCTCCCCCACCCTGGCCCCCCCTTGCCCCTGCCCCACTGCCCGACCCCTCCCCCAGCTGGCCCCCCCCTGCCCCTGCCCCACTGCCCGACCCCTCCCCCATCCTGGCCCCCCCCTTGCCCCTGCCCCACTGCCCGACCCCTCCCCCAGCTGGCCCCCCCCCTGCCCCTGCCCCACTGCCCGACCCCTCCCCCATCCTGGCCCCCCCTTGCCCCTGCCCCACTGCCCGACCCCTCCCCCATCCTGGCCCCCCCTTGCCCCTGCCCCACTGCCCGACCCCTCCCCCATCCTGGCCCCCCCCTTGCCCCTGCCCCACTGCCCGACCCCTCCCCCACCCTGGCCCCCCCTGCCCCTGCCCCACTGCCCGACCCCTCCCCCATCCTGGCCCCCCCTGCCCCTGCCCCACTGCCCGACCCCTCCCCCATCCTGGCCCCCCCTGCCCCTGCCCCACTGCCCGACCCCTCCCCCATCCTGGCCCCCCCCCTTGCCCCTGCCCCACTGCCCGACCCCTCCCCCAGCTGGCCCCCCCCTTGCCCCTGCCCCACTGCCCGACCCCTCCCCCATCCTGGCCCCCCCTGCCCCTGCCCCACTGCCTGACCCCTCCCCCAGCTGGCCCCCCCTTGCCCCTGCCCCACTGCCCGACCCCTCCCCCATCCTGGCCCCCCCCTTGCCCCTGCTCCACTACCTGACCCCTCCCCCAGCTGGCCCACCCGTGAGGCATTGTCCCAGTCAGGACAGCTCCGCCCTCCACTTCCCAGGGGTCCTGGCCTGCTGGACAGGCTGCCTCCAAGCCCTTCCAACGCCCTTCCAGGGCCCAGGGGTACCAGAGAGCTTCACACAACTGCACAAGGTCCAGGAGAGCCAAAGGGAGTGGTGGAGTCCTGGCCTGAGCCCCTGGTCTGAG